TATATATATATGTATATATATATTCATATATATATGTATATATATCTGCATATATATATCTATATTATATGTATATATATATCTCAAATATATATGTATATATATACTATATATATATGTATATATATTCATATATATGTCCTATATATATATGTATATATATATCAAATATATGGATCTATAACGATATGAGGTATATATATATCTATGTCGAGTATATATGCAGTATATAAATATATATATGTCTCGTCTATATATCTATATATATATATGTATATATATATATACATATATATATATGTATATATATCTATATATATATATATATATATATATATATATATATATATATATGGATATTTATATCTGATATTTTATACGTTATATTCATCGGGTTTTATAAAATTATATAAATATTTTGTATCAAAAAAACAAAGTATAGATAAAAAAGTATTTTGTGTCCTTCTCTGAAATGAGGTCTATTGTATTATTTAAACTGTTATCGTTTGTTCGTTGGCTATTGTACGACACCAACGGATCTTGTTCGGAACTCACTCCTCAGTTTTTAAATACGGTGCATGTTTTGGTTGTTGAAAATTAAAGTTTTCATCGTTTTATCCACTGAGACCAGGGTCCGAATAATGATGAACAAATGGGGACTTATAAAACCTAAAATGGTCATTAATTAATAAATATTTATGCAAATTGATAACTAAAACAGGACTTTTATCTTCAATAGCCATAATACATTGTTGCATATGTAAAATTTTAACAACGAAGAAAATTTTCCTCTAATCAAAGCTGTGTTAAATATTCTATATATACCACAATGAGATTATATTTGTTTCTTAGTTACTGTATATATATATCATATATATTTATTTCTATATATATCATATATTATGTATATATAAATATCTATATATTGTAATATAAATAAGTTTTTATATATATGTATATATCTATCTATATATATATATGTGCGGACTCTATGTATATATATTTTAGAATATATATATATAGTTCTATATATCGTAGATTTGTTTATATAGTTTATACAATTCGTGATGATATAAAATCTTCTTTTAGTATTGACTATTATATAATATATAAAATATATATATATATATCTCTGATATATATATATATATATTAATATATATAGCATACCTACCGAGACTTTTCTGTCACTCAGTTGGAAAAAAAAGGATCTTTGTCGATTATTTGGCCTTAACAATGTATTAGGTGATTTATTACTGAACACCCAGGATCTTTCAAACTGTTTATTTAAAATTAAAATTCATAAGGGAAAATGGTCATTAACAATGGTATTTTAATTTTAATTATAAAAAATTTTCCTCTGTTAAATATTGAAAATAAACATTGAGCGCTCTTTGCAAATCACTTAATATTTAATATTTCAAATTCTATCTTGTAATAGGACTCGCTTTGATTATACCAATGAATTCTTATCTCTCTCTCTCTCTCTCTATATATATATATATATATATATATATATATATATATATATATATATATATATATATATATAGTGTGTGTGTGTGTTTAAATGTGTATTGTATATAAATATATATATACAATATTTTATATATATTATTAACTAGCAGTAGATCCCGGCGTTGCCCGGGGATATAACAGTAAGAGATAGATCAAGTATCCACTATCATAAAGACTGAAAATAAAATTGACAAAGATTATTGTTTAAGGTTGACGGACACGCATGTCTTAATTATTTTTTTTTTTTTTTTTTTTTTTTTTACGAATTGGTCAAACTCAAACAAAAACATTGTTTTCAATCGTTATGAGTCTCCCGATTGAAAAGAATTTTATAAACAATTGTCTTGTAAATGGAAATTTTTAAAAAGCATTCTGAATGTAAAATAAAAAATAAGTGTGCAAGACAATAAGTAACACTACCTGCCAAAAAAAAAGTGAGTTTGTTGAAATTGGTTGAAAAATGTAAGGTAGCCATTCTGTAATCTTTTAGTTTTTACAATTTATGATTTTTACTTATTGAATGCAGTAATAAAAATTGCATATTTTAGCGTGGTGATTCATAATTAAATTCTGATTTGAATATATTTTCCATTCGTTGTTTCTAATACAAAAAAATATTAACTTTATTTGGGTTTATTAATTATGATCTAACAAATCTTATTCATTTAGTAGCCTTTCTGTAATAATAATCTTTTTACAATTTATGATTTTTACTTATTGAATACAGTAAAAAAATGGACACCATGTGTTTTAAAGTAGTTTCCAGTTCGGTTATTATTTTTAGTTAGGACTTGTGTATGTTTAGATTTCATTATCTTTCCCTAAAGATAAAGAATTTATCCGATGTTTGTATTCATACAATCAGTGAGATCGTTAGATTATTGTTTAAGGTTGACGGACACGCATGTCTTAATTAGTTTTTTTTTTTTTTTTTTTTACAGATTAGTCAAACCCAAACTCAAACAAAACATTGTTTTCAATCGTTATGAGTCTCCCCGATTGAATAAATTTTATTATAAATAATTGTCTTGTAAATGGAATTTTTAAAGCATTCTGAATGTTAAAAATAAAGAAATAAATTGTTCAGAGAATAAAAACACTATCTGCCAAAAAAAAAAATAAAATGAAGTGTTGTTTTATCGGCTGAAAAAAATCGGAAATCCGCTCCCCTGTTTAAAAGAACCCACACAAACAACCCGATGTGAGTTGTCCCCTTCCATTTCCCCTCATGATGTCTCTTAATCATGTTTTCAAATTGATTTTGTGCAAAAACAATTATATTTTTCCCCATTTTGGCGCTGTTAGAACCACCACAAGGTAATTTTATGTGGTCCTGTGAAGTTTTGTTGAAATCGGTTGAAAAAAAATCCGATCAATATATAATCACATCAATATACACAACACACACACACACACACACACACACACACACAGAATCTGCGTTTTATAATAAGTAAGATATATTATATATGCGCAGTATACCTCAATATCAGTGATAGAGCTAACATATTTAGTTGGATTCATGTGACTTTGTGATCCTGAGTTTCATGCTATTTGCGATCGTCAGAAAAACTCCTTTGTTTGTCCTTTTGATTGTATGACAAACCAAAGTTCACAAACCCACATCAATCCAACTAAATATATATATATATATATATATATATATATATATATATATATATATTTGCATAATTCAAGACGACAATTTATCTATCGTACCTCTACGTATACACACATATATTTATATAAAAGCATATAAATTTACTCCTCATCTATAGCTCAACTCTGACTTACATTTAAACAAATTATTCATTAGCACCAGCATCCAATGTGATGTATATATATATCTATATATATATATATATATATATATATATATGCAAATGTGTACTGAAAATCTTCAGTCAAGCCCTTTTGGAAATCTGATCAAGTAGATAATAGAATTTTGTGAGGAAGAAAATACCTAAAAATATATATATATATATATATATATATATATATATATATATATATATATATATATATACATATATATATATATATATATATATATATATATATATGTGTGCGTGTGTGTTTCTAATTTTTTTAACTTAATTTTCCAGTAGACGTAATGATTAAACACTACCAAATAAGTAATGCCTCCGTCTGTCACCCGGAGGGCAAAAAGAAACACAATCCCTTCAGTCGCTGATTACCACTCTCTTTTCAGTCTTCTTGGGATTAATTTCTGTTTGCAAACTTGGCTTCTTAAGAAAGAGGCGTGAAGGTGGAACGTCCTGCCGTGAACAAGGAAACATGGAAAATCGCGTTATGCCGAAGTAAGCTATGCACAGCACAGAGAATAAGACGTTAGAATATTTTAAAGGGAAGGTACGAAAATCTCTCTCACTCTATCTATCTATCTATCTATCTATCTATCTATCTATCTATCTATCTATCTATCTATCTATCTAAACAGAAATATATAGTTAGTTAGATATGATATGAACAGAGATAGATTGATCTGGACATATGTAGATGATAGATATTGACGGACCGATAAAGAAAAAACAAACGATATTATATATATACATACACACACACACACACACACACACACACACACACACATATATATATATATATATATAGAGAGAGAGAGAGAAGATTGACTGACCAATAAAGAAAAAATATATATCTATACATATATATATATATATATATTGAAAGACCAATAAAGAAAAAAAAATATATATATATATATATATATATATATATATATATATAGATAGATAGATAGATAGATTGATGAATATTGAATATATATATATAAAATATATATATATATATATATATAAGAAATATAGTTTTAATTTATGCTAGATAGAATATATATATATAAACATAAAAGGTGGACTGACGATTGCGTCTAGCATGAAACAGCCTGTCGCCTCTGAGTGTTGACTTCTGTGTTCACTTATATATATATATATATATATGTGTGTGTGTGTACACGTACATACACACACACACACACACACACACACACATATATATATATATATATATATATATATAGAGAGAGAGAGAGAGAGAGAGAGACAAATAGGTATTAACCTTTCATCTTGATTCAAATTACAATGTACTCAAAATGTTTTCTTTTCTGTTTATCGTCTGTAATGTTTCCTGGCTTTCGCATGAGGCAGAAAGGCATGAACGAGAGGACAGCAAAAAATCAGTCGTCGAACATGCCTTTATTTGGCTGGGGTGGGGACTGAATTTTAACCACTTGGACTATGCTTCTTCAGTTCGAAAAGAAAAAAAATGATACACGTATCAGTTTGCCACGGACTAATTAAATCTATTGTTCTTTGAGGTAATTCCAAAGTAAATAACTTGCCGTGTCTGTGGAATCTTGTTAATGCCAACGACAGGAAGGAAAAGCGAACGTCTGTCGCTTTTTGTGAAATAAAGCGATTTATAAATAGATTCTGTGAGTCTTAAAAGAAATGAAGAATGCGATTAAAGCGGTGTAAAAAAAAAAATAACGAGACAGAGGAGATATGAAAGGAAGGATGGATGGAAGGATAGAAGAAAGATAAAAAAAAAACAGGATACGAAAAATGAAAAAGAAATGATAGAAGAAGAAAAAGATGAAAGAAGAAGATGCGGAGCAACTGATTGAAGAAGAAAGAAAGAATGAAACCAGAAAAAAGTGGAAAACGAAAAAAAAATTGTTTGAAGGATTCGTTTGCAAAGAAAGAGAAAGAGAAAAACAATGAAAAGTTATAAAAAAAAAGATAAAGAAAAAAGTAGAAAGTAGGGGAAAGAGAGAGAAATAGAAGGAAAAGGAGAGAAAATGAGTTAAGGAAGTGGCAGGAAGAGTAGGTGAATAAAAGGACTAAAGTGGCAGTGGAGGAGGAGGAAGAATAAGAAGAAGAAGAAGAAGAAATGATAGAAAGAGGGCAAGGTAGGAGGGAAAGTGTGCAGCAGATCAAAAGATTGTTAAAAAAAAAAAAAAAAAACTGAGAAAAAATCGACACATCGAAAGGAAGTTAATGAATACAGGAAAAAAATGAAGGCAAGTGGCTTCACAAAAATTTGGTAAAGAAGGAAAGAAAAAAGAAAAAAAAATAGCAACAATGGTCTAAAAAAGAAAGCGCTCAAAAGTGTTTTCCCCCTTCTTAATGGGGAGGTGCAGCGGTCTTTTCTTTGGTGCCTGTTTCTTTGTCTTTAGCGTCCGAAGTTAATTGCGAGGAGCTCTTTTGTGTCTAAAGACGAATTAGTTATTTTCTAATGGTGGATTTACGCTCCAGTTATTGGTTGACGCCAACCCCAAAGTCCTTGAAGATTGAAGATATGTTGCTGCTCACTTTAGTTGATTTCTCATTTCGCGATATATATATATATATATATATATATATATATATATATATATATATATATATATATATATATATATATATTTTCAGGGTGGTACAAATTTTTCCATCAGTTACTTCCAAGGCATTTCCTTGGTTTATTTCTTCTTCATTAACAAAGACCTCTTTAAACACGCCTTTTATTAAAAACGATAAAAAAGGATTTTATTCTTTAATGATATCTTAAAGTCAAAGTATATTCTTTCTTTTCTAGTGATTCTAGCACAACGAGGCTACCCTAAGGATTTATTATCCGTGGGCATAATCTTAAGAATATAAGTAACGCAAATGACACTGTTTAGTCCGTTGAACGAAAAATTACAGGACTTCCAAGACAAGGTAATAAAGGAAAGCGAGAAGGAAGTACTGAGCAACAACTGTAAGAAGGCAAAATACAGGGTTGACAGAGAAAAAACACAAAGATGCTAGCTACGAACGACACAGGTCAATATTAAACAAGTACTGAAGTTTAATTATCTGGAAAATGTTTTAACGACGGATTGAAAATGTTACGCTAAAATCAATAGGCGTATTGGAATAAGGGAAAGATGCTTTCCAAAAGCTAAGGAAGGTACTAAGAAACAGGAAAATTCCGCCAGAAAGAAAGAAAATAGTGCAGAAAATAGTAACACCAAGTATGGAAGTTGATACCAGACAATCTCATCTCAGATCGAGAGAAAACTAGAGGTATCAGGGAGTTGGTTCTGCTGAAGGCAGTATAAAAAGAATATGATTTATTTTATTTTATTAATTAATTTATTTGTTAATTTTTAATACTAATATGCGTATACATCGATTATGTCATATGCGATCCCTGTGGAATATGATCTCCTGTGGTATATAGTACTGGCTCGTTCCCAATAGCCGTTACACATGACGTTACGTTAGATCATATTCAAACGATCCACCACTGGTTTTGACTTCAACGTTGTCCTTCTCCAAGTGGCTTGTTATCCATGCAACCGCATATGTTAGCTCTATCACGGATATATATATATATATATATATATATATATTCATCTCGATGTTCTTGTCTGAGAAGGCGATCTTATCGTGTTGCACCTTCTGAAATTGTTTTAAAACTATACCATAATTGACCCAAACACCGTGGGTGAATTTTGGGAGTCGTCGGTGGTTGTGTTAGCGCAAAGTACCAAGTCATCGTGACCGGGGCTCTGAGCGTACTGGCGTTGTTCAGACAGTTAATCACCCAAGTATTACGCTCTCTCAGAGAAGCTGTAACTAAGGTCTGCTCAGCATAGTTTCAGTCTAAACCACAGGTGGTCTCTGTGGGTTGTGAACAAACACAAACATGCCTGAGCAGATGTCAGCAACATATACATATACATTCATAAACAGGTTCGGGGTTTTTGTATATTATTTGAATTGTTCGCGACGATGGATTTCTCGCCTATTAAATCATTAACCTTTGTATTTGTTTTTTGTATGAATAATTCATGAATTTGTAAATTAATTGCACCTTTATTGAAATTAAAATAACTGATCCAAGTGCAACTTTTGGATAATAAGTGCGACATTACTGTAATTATTGAACAATATAGTTCATGCCACTTTGACTGAAAATTTACCAGTAAAAAAGAATTCACTTATCACCATATTTGTACAGAACGCACAAATGTAAAATTTAAATCAAACTCAGCGTTATACTGCACGCTCTAAAAACGTTTTATAACTCATTTCTAATAGCATTTTCCGGATACAACAATACATATATTTTCGTTGTCCTCTTCTTCTTGAGAGTAAAAAATAAGAACAACATCTATTCCATACCTGAAGATGTCTATAGGAACAGACGAAAGCTTGTAGTAAAATAAGAACTAATAAGCAGAAATTTATAAAAACAAGGATCTTTCATTCATAAAAAGGTTCAGGGTTTTTGTATATTATTTGAATTATTCGCGACGATGGATTTCTCGCCAATTAAATCATTAACCTTTGTATTTGTTTTTGTGTATGAATAATCCATGAATATATATATATATATATATATATATATATATATATATATATATATGTATGTGTGTGTGTGTGTGTGTGTGTGTGTGTGTGTGTTAAGCTCTTTAGAATATTGCACTGTTGGAAG